GACAAACTTTGGTGTTTTTTGACGAGTTACTTTCATTTTTGCTTCTACTTTTCATTTAATTTAAAATAGGTTTCCATTCTCGGCAGGTTTCTAAGGTTTTTCTTCTACATATTAAAAAAGTTGTGAAACAACTGAGTGGCACACTACTGCTACTAGTGGTGAGAAAGTGTATTGCACCTTATTCAAAATCAATGCGGTCCCACGGCCCAAAGTTAAAAACTGTTGTTCTTTTGAGGCTCTCAAGGTGGTGCTCACGGCCCACAATTGGGCCGCAACCCATGGGTTAAGAATCTCTGGTCTGGACCACAGATCGATGACAGAGGAGCAGAGTTGTCAACTGATTACCAGTTGGTGGTGAGTTGGATCGGATGGTGAGGGATGATGCCAGTCAGACACAGGAGACCCAAACATGTCGTGAGGGTTTTCTGGGAACGCCTGGCAGAACTCCTCAGAAAGATCTTCACTCCCARTGGGCCATATTTTGTGCCTTTTGTCTCTTTGGACTGCTGGGCTGAGCTGCAAGGGTGGCCCTCAAACCCAGTAGTGGACACCCAGTTGAGGATGGCTGTCAAGCTGAAGAAGGAGTTCTACTGAGCCTTGTTAACTCCAGAGGCAGCTGAGGAGTAATGGGGGGCCAAGCAAGCTGCAGGGCTCTAGGAGTGGAAGAGAGCTGCTCTGAATTCCTCTAGGATCTGGATATGTTCTTGGCTGTCTTGGTTGACATGCCTTTGCAACATGGTGCGCACATTGGGGTAGTGCCACTAGATTGGTAAATTGGGGTGGGAGGAGCTTCCCTGGTAAGGTCTATTTAGGGGGGCTGGTGATAAGAGTCTGGTTGATGGTCAAACTTCTGTTACAGGAGGGACAGTGCAGGTGCTGTCCCAACCATGGAACAGATAACCAGCTCTTTACCCTCCCTTGCATCCTTGATGGGGCATGCTAGTCCGCCTAACCAGTTTGTGTGYGTTTTGGGGACTTGGAGAAGGTAATCAACTGTGTTCCCCAGGGTAACCTGTAGAAGGGATCCTTGGGGATGAAAGGAGTCCTGTTGGTATTTCATGCTATGATCTCCAGCTCTGACTGGAGCAGTTTGCAGCCGAGTGTGAAGTGGTTGGGATGATGAACAGAATCTTTCATATCTGATGTCACGATCCTCAATCGTAAAAGGGTGGACTGACCTCTCCAGGTTGGGAGTAAGGTGCTCCCTCAAATGGAGGAGGAATTTGTGGCTTTCTTCATGAGTGAGGGAAGAATGGAGTGAGACTGACATATGGAACAGTGCCACTTCTGCAGTATTACACACTTTGTACTGACCCACTGCAGAGGAACAAGGCAATGCTCTCTCTTAATCAATCAACCAATGTTTCTACCCTCACCTATTGTAACAAACTCTGGGTAGTGACCGACAGAACAGAAATTGTTAGGGGTCAGAAAGAAACTGCATAACAACTTTTTTGTCTTTTAGTTTTAGCAAATTAATCATGGACTGTGTCCAAACTCAGGGGCTGTGTCCTCTGAAAGTCCAATTTGTCATCCGCTTATGTCACAGCACCATCAAATCTTGAATACAGGCAGTAGAAATGAGTTTTCTGCACAGGATAGCTAGGCTCTCTCTTAGAGATGGGGTGAGAAGTGCAGTTATTTAGGAGAGACTCAGAGTAGAGCTGCTGGTCCTCCACACCCAGAGGAGCCATTTGAGGTGGTTTGGGCATCTGGTAAGGATGCCTCCTGAACGCATCCCTGGGTATGTGTTCCAGGCCTGTCCAACTGGGAAGAGGAACCATGGAAGACCCAAAACATGCTGGAGAGACTGTCTCTAAACTAGCCTGGGAGCATGTGATAAGAGACAACTCAGCCTCCCTGCTCCAGCTACTKCTCCTACAACCTGACTCCAAGATAAGTGGCAGGTAATGGATGAAAGGTTGGGAGATGCAGAAACAGAAAGTACTGCATAAAGTTTGTTTACCTGACAGCATTTGCGTCACACCCATTTTAGGCTGCTTGTGAAGAAAACTATGGCTGAATTCCTGAGCAATGATCTGGAGAAAGAAAAAAAAGCTTTTTCACAAAAAAGTCATTTATGCATGAAAAATAAAAGCAGTAAATTAAAAAATACTTAACTCTACCTGAGGTGTGAGAAACCTCTCTATCCTGCAAAAAAGGAAAGGTTTGTCCAGTATAGCGCTGACTGAGGGCCTCTCTCGAGGGTTACGTTTAAACAGCTGTGCCAAGAGAGACCGAAGTTCTTGGGAGTAGTGAACAGACACTGGCGGGTATGAGCCACGGATTATCTTCAGGACTAAGTTCTTCATGTTGCCAGCCTCAAACTAAAAGAGATCACACACACAGTTGGAGGCTAAAAGGAAAAACATCAAAATTAAGCTAATGAAACTTAGATATGCACCAGTTATACATAGAACGTGTACACAAATGAACACTGAAGTTCTGCAAAGGATACTTTAAATGTACATAAATATGTAAACAGCACACACACACACAATGTACTTACTGCATGCTTAAGAGTGCACATTTCATACAGGACACAGCCTAGGGCCCAAATATCGCTGCAGAAGGAAGGACAGCAGGGAAAGTAAAGGTGAGAGGGACCACAAAGACAGGTAGGGGTAGGTTTTTGGACAAAGGTGACCCGACACTTTGAACCGAGGATTAAATTGCAAGTAGTGGAGTGAGAAAACATTACACTGTTGTAAAAATTTGGGAAATTGGATTTTGTCAAAATAGAATAAATAAATACTTTATCTATGAGTTCCTTGAAGGAAATGGCTGAAATATAATCCTAAAAATGTTTTGAATTACCTTTCTGAGCAGGACCAACAACTAATGATGATTTTGAGCAAAAGAGCCCTAAACTTTCACTACTTTCCTAAAGTGTTAGTGAAGCTATTTTCACTAACAGATGACAGGAAATCTCTGTATCCAAATATGGTCTGAGGTTTCCTCTTCTAGATGTCAATAAAACCTTATTACAATACACTAAAAATAGGATTGAGTCCAAATTTCCAGGGCTGTTCCCCTTTAGCAAGACAAATCAAGCAATGTCAGGATGATCCATGTATCAAAATGTAGCTTAAATAGCCAAGAGTCCGAAGATGTGCTTAGTTTAGTTTGACCAAAGTCAAATTAATCCCTGATTTGATGCGATTTGTCATAAATTTAAAAAAAATGCAATCAACTTTTAGCTGTAACTTGTGCTGTTTTCTTTATAATAAACTGAAGATAAAAAGGTACTTGGGTACTGCAAAAGCTTTCTTCCATTTACTAAATGAAAGATAAAAATATCTTCACTGACTTTACCTAAAGTGGATTAGATAACAGACAATTTAACTGGAAATGAAGAAATCAATATTAGCTTCCTGCTGTAGATGTAGCCAATCAGGATCATGAGGAGACATGATATCATCCTGAAATCGCCGAGACACCGCCACAAAATCCTGCATGACTCACTTTTAAGAGGAGACATGAAGACTGACAAATGAGTTATCCATCAAAATCCCATAAACCACAGCATCGAGTACCTTTTGTTGTTGTACGGTTTGTTTTCGCAAATCTCTGGTGATAAGTAATATGGCGTCCCTATGCATGTCCTCGCCAGATCTACAGTGCTGGAAAGTGATAAACAACAAGTTACGTCTCCACAAGGTTTTGTCTTTAAAAAAATATCTGCAGATCTTTTCAGATAACACGAAGCTTACCTGTTCAGGACCCTGGCAATACCAAAATCCCCAAGCTGAACTGTCCCATCTTTAGTCAAAAATATATTCTGTACACACATTTTGGCAACATATAAATGAAGCGAAAAATAATAATACAAATGATTGTAAGCCAATGTGCTTGCAAAGAATAAAAGAAAAGATTATATCAAAGTAATACCTGTGATTTAATGTCCCTGTGGAGAATTTTTCGATCATGCACATGCTTCAGTGCCAGGCAAATCTGCACAAACCAGTCCAGGATCTTAAGGGGAAAAAAAGAGAAAATGGTGAAACCCACATTAAGAAAATCACTATAAAAACTTGGCAAAAATAGCATTGAATCTAATTTTGGTGGATCGCCGTCCGCTCGCAGAGCCACTGCTCTCATTTAGGGCTGTCACGATTATTGTCAACTATTAAATTAGTCAACGATTTTAATAGTTGCGTCGGTTTTTTTTCTAACTTTGTTTTTCTCTCCAAACAGCTGCGGCACCTTCAACTGCCACGTCTGCCTTTCTGTCCTTGACACACATGCACAGTAGTGGTAATTAGGGTTGCCCAAGGAGGTTCTATAGAACAGCTGGAGTGCGCAGAAACCACGTGATCGGCTGGAGAAGCTAACAGCTAATGCAAAATGGTCAAGAGTCTGGATTTCCCATTACTGTACATGTTGGTGGCAGAGCAGAAAAAAGGACTGATGATGTAGAAATCATAAAAACTATTAATAATAATATTAACCCAATTATTATTAATGTTTTACAGTTTATATAATCTAACGCAGTGGTTCCCAAACTTTTGATCTTCTGACCCACAAAATATCCATGGCAAAAACTTGTGACCCCAAATATTATTGGTCTGAGCACACAAACTTTGTTAATAACCCTAAAAACACAGGATTTTTGACAATCTAAACAGCTTGTACACAAATATAAATACTTGTATATCAGCAATTATTTTATTACCCTTTAAATTGATTTCTGTAGATTATCCAAGGTGCTTCATGACCCATAATTGGGTCCCAAGCCCAACTTGGGGAACCAAAATGCAGTGGTTCCCAAACTTTTCAGATTTTGACCCACAAAATAACAGTAGCAGAGACCTGTGCCCCCAGTTATTTTTGGATGATAAACA